TCCGCAAAAGCACTGACGATCTCATGTAAGATTGTCAGTGCTTTTGCGGAAATATTATGCTGCTCCTGTTCGGGCAAAAGTCTTGCACAAAAGTTTTTCGGAAAAAAAGGGCCAGTGTAGACAGCAGAGATTTGTTTTTCGCAAAAAAGCCCCGATCACGAAAATGGCGATTGGGGCTTTTTTGTGGAAAACCGCGTCTAGATTGGCCATAGATGCTTTTCCGCAAAAAGTGCTTTTGCAGAAAAGCATCCTGCCAATCTAGACGCGCTTTTCCGAAAATGCTTTTAACAGAAAACTTGTCCATTAAAAGCATTTCCGGAAAATCATGCCAGTGTAGACGTAGCCATTATGTTCCCTGTTGATTTTGTCCTTCTTGCAGCTTTGCAAATACCAGAGCATTGTGCATCCCATGCTAGCAGCACTCATGACAATAATGCAGAGCTTCATGCTTCTGTCAGAGATGGTGGACAGTGAGGGGGGCTGTGTGGGTTCATTGGATTTTTTTTAAAGGTGCAAAAATTTCAGGAGAGAGAGGACACTGAGATGAAAAAAGTTATAGTCTCTGTATTGGCCCCCTTAGCTCCCAGTCCCGCTTGCATAACTATTTTTTGCCCCACCACGCATTGTCAAAATATCCAAAAAAGCAGTGCGTTAGACGATGGTGGGTTGCCCAGTGGGTTACTTACCCCTAGTGTACTGCACTGCACTATGTGTTGACACAAGCACTACTGGAGAATGGTATCCCTCTGGCTGGAACTAGGCAACAGGGGATGGATCACTTGATGGTTACCTGTTCTGTTCATTCCCTCTGGGACACCTGGAATTTGCCACTGTCAGAAGATGGGATACTGGGCTATATGGACCCAGTATGGCCATTCTTATATTCTTGCAATATGTTATCTCACTACACTTAATAATTGGTTCCACCTTGTATTTAGATGTAACGCTTTAGCTGTCTACACTACGGCTACGTCTACACTGGCCCCTCTTCCGGAAGGGGCATGTAAATTTCAGCAGTCGTCGTAGGGAAATCCGCGGGAGATTTAAATATCCCCCGCGGCATTTAAATAAAACTGTAAGGCTACGTCTACACTGGCCCCTTTTCCGGAAGGGGCATGTAAATTTCACTCGTCGTCGTAGGGAAATCCGCGGGGGATTTAAATATCCCCCGCGGCATTTAAATAAAAATGTCCGCCGCTTTTTTCCGGCTTTTAAAAAAGCCGGAAAAGAGCGTCTAGACTGGCCCCGATCCTCCGGAAAAAGTGCCCTTTTCCGGAGGCTCTTATTCCTACTTCAAAGAGCCTCCGGAAAAGGGCGCTTTTTCCGGAGGATCGGGGCCAGTCTAGACGCTCTTTTCCGGCTTTTTTAAAAGCCGGAAAAAAGCGGCGGACATTTTTATTTAAATGCCGCGGGGGATATTTAAATCCCCCGCGGATTTCCCTACGACGACTGCTGAAATTTACATGCCCCTTCCGGAAGAGGGGCCAGTGTAGACGTAGCCTACAAGTTTTTGCTACCTCATGTTACATCAGCCTAAAGATACCACAATTAGTATATCGCTTGTGCACATGCACAGTTGACTCTTTGCACTGGCACTTGTTAGGAAAAAGTTCCTAACTGTCAGGGTGGTTAAACACTGGAATAAATTGCCCAAGGAGGTTGTGGAATCCCCATCTCTGGAGATATTTAAGAGTAGGTTAGATAAATGTCTATCAGGGATGGTCTAGACAGTATTTGGTCCTGACGTAGGCCATACTGGGTCAGACCAATGGTCCATATAGCCCAGTATCCCATCTTCTGACAGTGGCAAATTCCAGGTGTCCCAGAGGGAATAATCAGAACAGGTAACCATCAAGTGATCCATCCTCTGTTGCCCAGTTCCAGCTTCTGCCAGAGGGATACCATTCTTGCCCATCCTGGCTAATACCTATTGATGGACCTATCCTCCGTGAATTTATCTAGCTCTTTTTTGAACCCTGTTAAAGTCCTGGTCTTGACAACATCCTCTAGCAAGAAGATCCACAGGTTGACTGTGCATTATGTGAAGAAATACTTCCTTTAGTTTGTTTTAAATCTGCTACCTATTAATTTCATTTGGTGACCCCTTGTTCTTGTGTTATGAGAACAAGTAAATAACTTTTCCTTATTTACTTCCTCCACACCAGTCATGATTTTATAGACCTCTATCATATCCCCCTTAGGCTTTTCTCTTCTAAGCTGAAAAGTTCCAGTCTTATTAATCTCTCATATGGCAGCTTTTCTATACCTCTAATAATTTTTGTTTCTCTTTTCTCAACTTTTTCCAATGCCAAGATATCTTTTTGCGATGAAGTGACCACAGCTGCACACCTTATTCAAGATGTGTGCATACCATGGATTTATATAGAGACAATAAGATAATTCTCTGTCTTATTTTCTATTCTTTTTTTAAGTGGTTCCTACAATTGTTTGCTTTTTTGACTGATGCTGCCTGCACATTGAGTGGATGTTCTCAGAGAGCTATCACAATGCATCCAAAATATCTCTTGAGGGGTAACAACTAATTTAATTCTCATCATTTTATGCGTATAGCTGGGATTATGTGTTTTCCAATATGCATTACTTTACATTTATCAACATTATAAAATTCATCTGCCATTTTCTTGCTCAATCACCTAGTTTTGTGAGATCCTTTTGAAGCTTTCCACAGTCTGCTTTGGACTCAAATATCTTGAGCAGGTTAGTATCATCTGCAGATTTTGCCACCTCACTATTTATCCCTGTCTCCAGGTCATTTATGAATGTTAACATAAGAACAGCCATATTTGGTCAGACAGAGGCCAATACCAGATGCCCAACAGGGAGGGAACATAATAGGCAATCATCACATGATCCCTCTCCCATCATCCATTTCCAGACAAACCTGCTGCCTTTTAATTTCATATGGTGACCCCTAGTTCTTATATTGTGGGAATAGAATCATACAATACTAGGACTGGAAGGGACCTCGAGAGGTCATCGAATCCAGGCCCCTGCCCCTATGGCAGGACCAAATACTGTCTAGACCATCCCTGATAGACATTTATCTAACCTACTCTTAAAGATCTCCAGAGATGGGGATTCCACAAGCTTCCTGGGCAATTTATTCCAGTGTTTAAACTACCCTGACAGTTAGGAACTTTTTCCTAACAAGTAAATAACTTTTTCTTATTAACACTTTTTCCACACCAGTCATGATTTTATAGACCTCTCTCATATCCCCAACCCCTTAGTCTCTTCTTTTTTAAGATGAAAAGTCCAAGTCTTTTTAATCTCTCTTCATACCATACCTGTTCCAAACCTCTAATCATTTGTGTTACCCTTTTCTGAACCTGTTCAATAGGATTGGTCCCAGTATGGACCCCTGTGGGACACCAGTTACCTCTCTCCATTCTGAACTGACCATATATTCCTACTCTTTGTTTCATATCTTTTAATTAGTTATCAATCCATGAGAGGACCATCTCTCTTCTCTCATGACAGATTACTTTGCTTAAGAGCCTATGGTGAGGGACCTTGTCAAAGGCTTTCTGGAAATCTAAGTAAACTATAGCCACTGAATCCCCCTTATCCACGTTTGTTGACCCACTCAAAGAGCTCTAGTAGATTGGTGAGGCATGATGTCCCTTTACAGTAACCATGTTGACTTTTCCCCCAACAAATTGTGTTCATCTATATAGCTGACACTTCTTTCAGAGACCATTTAAGTGAAATGGCTGTTAACACCTCTGTAGTTGTAGGAGAAAGGAGGATTAGTGGATTACAGATTATGAGCCATAAATCCAGTGTCTTTGAGTCCATAGCTTTTAGCATCTGGCAAAGTTATGATTTTAAGCTCCTAGGCTCTTCTTTTGAGAGGTCAAATATGGAGTGATCATTTTGTGAAAAGCATTTACCTATGGATGGGATGGTGTGTTTATTTTTCTGTGAGAGTTCATTTAGAAGTAGTTACTGTCTTGTTTCAGCCACAGCATTGTTATTGTGCAATTGATGGACTGGGTGAGGTCCAGCACACTTGATAGCTGTGTGTAAGACCCAGGGATCTTGAAAGATGTATTGCTCTTTGTGTCAGTAGAGCTATGCCTACAGGTTTTGCATCTGTTATGGATGAGTCTGGTGCCACTTTGAGTTACCGTGTACTGGTCTAGTGATAGAAATGCAGCTGTGTTAGTCTGGTGTACCTGAAACAAAGTACAGGACGATGTAACACTTTAAAGACTAACAAGATGGTTTATGAGCTTTTGTGAGCCAGACCCACTTCCTCAGATGTGTACTGGTCTATGGAACTTGCTTCTGCTGATAAGCTTGGCATGGTTAGAAAGTTGTTTAAAGACCACAAGAAGGTATCAGGAAAGATTATTTCAGGATGTGATTCCCATCAAGTATGGATTGTAATTGCTTGATAGCCTATATGGGTTCCACTGGCGGTGTGTATTTGGAGCAAATGGAAAGAGGTTCTGCATTGAAGCAAGTTCTCTCAGGATTTGGGTGGCCCGTTAATGATGCAATCTACTTTTCTGGGTAAAACTGCTTGTTTAGTGAAAGTAATTTTAATTGGATTAAGACAGGTAATTCAGACTCTCTTCTGAGCACATTCAGTAATAGGAGTGCCTGGTGCATGAGGTAAGTGTGGTGATTTCTGGCTTTTGTGTATAATTGGCTGTAGGATTTCCTTGTTGAAGCTAACCATGGTGTTTGAGAATGGGTTCTAAGAGTCTCACTGATTCTTCAGTACGATTGCCATAGCCAGATATGGATATGCCTGCATTCCCCTCTTACGTATCTTGTTTGAGTATCCTTGAAATTGCTAGTGTAACACAAAATGAGTGTTGGGAAGAAAGGGATGTCAGTTAGGTCTTGTAAAGTTAGTATGCTCTGTCTGACCGCCTGTGACGCTGCAAGTTGAAAATATTTAGATGAAGCTTGCTGTTTGATGATCAGCATGCAAACTGTAGCACTTTTTTCTTTTTCTTCAAACTTAGCACTCTCCAGGTGTGCAGCCAGCTGATCTTGAAGAAGTTGTCAAGAAGGGAGTTAAAACATTAGTGATCGGCCGTGGCATGAGCGAGGCCTTGCAGGTAAGTTTTGGCCTATGACAACACCTTGTAACTGCTGGTTCTTTTCCTCTTTAAGCATAGATCATTTCTAGCCTTGATAAAAAGCAATCTAGTAATTCATTTATTCCCCCAATCTGAACCTGTTCTTTTATAAAGCCAAGAAGCACTTATGAAAAAAAGTTGTAAAATATAAGATCAGCATTTTGGGAGTAAAGACATTTTCTGAAAGTAACCTCATTTGATACTGGGATCCCAGCATCAAACTGTAATTCAGTTTACAACATGCAGTAATAGCAGCAGCAATTACAATCTTTCAACTATGTTAATTTTTAAACCTTTAAAACGGATTGTAAATCAGAACCCCAGTGTGTTGTAGAAATTTGTAGCCTGTCCTTGACTACCCTTGCTAGAAATGGTATTTTCATGTGTCACTTCAGCAGAAAGCTGAAGAAATTCCAATCTTTTCAGTGAAGCTTCATTCATTTCAAAAAGCAGTCTGCTAGCTTTTTGAACTGGGTGGCCTGAGTGAAATGGGCAGAGGCATCTTTGTAGTGTTCTTCCCACTTAGAAAGCGCTACATTCTATTATATGTATTAATTCACAGTCATTTCCACCACTATCTCCTGAATTTTCTGTTCATGGTACAATTCAGAATCCATCGAGGAACATGCTAAAGAAGAATGAATACAAGTTGGATATATGTTAACTATTATTAAATGACAGTGAAATAAAAGTGCCTTTTTCTCCACTATAACAAATTGAGAAGTATATTCCTGTTATCAATTTGGTTACTACCCCACAAGTTTATTTTATTACCTTTAAAACTAGATGCAATTAAGCATTTTTATGAATAAGTGCAACCAGTACTTGTTTCTTATTTGGAGGTAGTCTGCAAGGGAAAGCATCTACCATTTGTCTTACATCTTTTTCCTATCCTGTTCCTTAGGTACCAGCATCAACAGTGGAGTATCTCAAGAAAAATGGGATTGATGTGCTAGTCCTGCAAACAGAGAAAGCTGTAAAGGAGTACAATGCACTAGTTGCTCAAGGTGTCAAAGTGGGAGGTGTCTTCCATTCAACATGCTAATGCATATAACAATACAGTCCTCTCCCCCTTAGCCAAAAAATTTGTGCCTTTTAATTGAATAAATGATAGCAGTCAGTATTGTGGATTTATAGTTCATATTCATTTCCCTCCATACCAAAGCCTGGATGTGAGATGAAGATCTAAAACAGTGAAGAGAAATATAGCAGTATAGAATCTAAATGAATCTCATTGCTCACAAATGTTTTTCACAGTGCTGGATATGGTAGACAATTTAATCATGCTTCTCAACACTTGTGATTTCGACCTAATCCTCTAGGCCTGAAGAGGTAATTCATCCTCTGACTGTTAATGTTTGGCGTAGCTGCTGAAGTAAAATAGTTACACTTTAGAAACCTGTTTGAAAAGAAATCACATCGCAGATAATCTCCTGATTTGTAGTAGCTATTGGATGATCACATTTATTCACTACCATCGGGTATCAAATTTGAAAGCAACCAGCCCACTTTTCAGTGCTGTATAGAAAAAGAGGGAAAGCTATGCCTTCCATTGCCAATGTCTTGAGCTGTCTAAACTCTTAGCAGTGCGCACAGAGTGAAATAATGGTAGATTTGCTTCTTGGAGAGGATTTTATTTTCATAACTTAGCATTTGTAAATTTTACATTACACAAAAACAAATCACTGGGAACTAAAGAAAAGATAACCCTAATAGTGAGAGAGGGGGCACTATGTAGTGATGTGTACTAGTACACATCAATAAGGAAAACCCCCTAACATACAGTATTTGGAATGTGTCTACTGCAAGCCCTGGGTTTATAGTTAATGGAAATGAAAGCTAGTAAGCAGCACATTAGACTAGCCCATCATTGCTAATGAGCTGGGGAATGGAGGTTGCATTTTTTAGATCCAGTGCTATTGGTTGAACATTAAACACATGCATAGATTTTTAATAAAAGCTGCAGATTTTAAACCTAATTTAATGGCGCCTGTCTTTTTCACTTCTATCTTGTGCTGGATTTACTGTGGCATATGCTCAATTAAAAATTACTGGTAAGGTTTTGTTCCACAAGGACTGTTAGCTATTATTTAAGTCTGCATATTGTATGTATTACAATAGGACAGAGAGGATACTGGAAGGGCCTACTGTGATAAGTACAGTACAGTCTGTCGAAACAACTCTACCTGAATCCTATTTTTGGAAAGTATTCCCTTCAGCTGGTTCGCTTTTCTCCTTTTTTATTAATTAAATGTAAATGATTTAATTGAGGAAATAAGAGGAAGAACTAGTATGTGTGAAAAACTTAATTTTCATTTCTTTTAATTATAATAATATTCTTCAACACTAGGGCTATATTGAGACAATAACTCATCTAAAACAGCAGGAGCTTCTTTCTGGGTGTATTTGCACTCATTGTCACAGCAGCCAGTATAATTAGTAGATGATTATTCACACTATAAATGCTGTAACATAATTCTGGCTAGTTGGTGTGGTAAGCAATAAAAGACTGAACACTGACCTAGAGGCATTAGCTTTCTGAGGGATGGCTTTAGCTCTCTTAGGGATGTAAAGCTCTTCTCTACAAAGACTGTACGAATTAAGAAAAAGGCACAACCCCGCCACAGTTTTGGCTGAAACCACACATGACAGAGCAGCAGCACAGCCCTGGCTCCTACTGCAGCTGTGAGGGAGTCACAGCCCCATCTCTGGCCAAAGCCACCAAAAGCTGATGCCAAAGTTACAAAGCTCCCGAAAAAACACAGAATGTGACTTCCCCAAAATCCCTTACCAAATGTGGCTGAACTGTTATCAGATCAGGAATCATTGGGGATGTCTATGCTGCAGCTGGGAGTGAGCTTCCTAGACCTGGTAAAAAGACTTGAACTAGCTAGGCTGGAGTTAACATGCTACAACTTGCAGGAAACCCATCCAATCACCTGGGTGACTAGCCTGAGCCACCAGCTAAGCTACAACATCTCCCATGCTATTGTCAGCACATCAGTGTGACTGCAGCTAACACAAGTCTGTTTAGCCAGTCCCAGAGGACTGTTTTACAGCTGCAGTGCAGATAGTCCCATTGTGTCAACTAACCAGCAAACTAAGAACACAAAATGTGCCACACAGTCAACCAATGGTCCAGCTGACCCTCATTTCCTGTCTCAGACAGTGGCCAATACCAGAGCTTCAAGGCAAGCATAGAGAACAGAGCAATTTTGGAGCTTTTAATTATTAAGTAGGCCCCACTTCCTTAAACATTCCACATGGGCAGCTTTGTTAAATTGCTATTTCTGTCCAAAACAGCTATCTTTCAAAAGCCAAACATCTCAAATACCAGATTGCAAGTATGAACTCTCCTGGCAGGGCTCTCAGCCACATAAACAGCCTCTCTTCTCCCTCCCGTCTCCAGCTCAGTTAGCAAGAATCTGCCTCCCAGCAGGCTGTGAACACCGCCCCCAGCAAATTCTGTAGCTCAGAGCTGTTTCTGGGCTCAGTGCCAGCAAGACTCCATCCCAGCTCCTACTGCCACAAGTTGCTCAGCCTCCATCCCTTATCTTTGTGAGGCAAGGTGCAGGATCACGCAGAAGGGAGAGGCAAGACAAGGCACACTCTCTCTGCACCACCCTTATTGAGACCTGTACTGCATTACCACACCTCTGCACCTGTGCTGATTCCTCTTAGCCAAGACATAACAGAGGATTACCACTAGAATATCTCAGGACTAGTCAGTCACCTAGGATTAAATATCTTCCTACTTTGGAATTTGTTTTCAAGCAAAATGAAATGGAAGATTTGTTACCTGCCAGCCTCATGGAGCACCCAGATCTTTCTGCCACAAAACACAGGAACAAGAATTTTCTTCAGTATTGACTTGAATTCATCATGATTTGAGAGCAAGGCTCATGGAGTAATTACACCAGGACATCCTGGCCCTAGAAAGTTCTATGGGTTGCTGAAGATGTTTTAAGGGCTTCTAAAATTCTCTGTGGGGTCTTTTGGGAAGAAACCACCCTTACGCAACAGACTACTGTCCCTTAAATGGAATGCCATGGCTGCATCAAACCAGGGAAGAGTCAGAAGGGACTGCCAGGAATTTGTCAGCTGCTTCCCACTCCTCCCTAATGACCTCAATGAAGAGGAATGGTCTGTTTTAGTTTTCAAGAGGAGGTTATCTGCCCTTGGCTTTAGGCTGCTCAGCCTCCCTGTGCTGGCCACTATATTCATCTATATTGCTTCAAATGTATCCAGGAAAACCTCCTGCTGGTCTGGCTGAGTATTATTATGATCTGAAACCAAAGGCCTCATGAGCAAGAGCTCATTTGATGCTTAGCCTTTTGGGTTCTCTTTTGCCTCTTGTAAGACAACTCCTCATCCTCAGAAGAGATCCATCTCTTTCTTAGCCAGCACCAGGGCGGGGGTCTCCAAGCTGAAAGGTACACAAAGTCAGAGAATTGAAGGACTGAAAGCACAAGAGCTGCTGTAATGCCAGAAGTGATAATGGTTAAGTCCCTATGCTTCAAGGCTGGAGGGTCTCCAGTATTTCCCATGATCAGAGCCCAAACGCCTCAACACTGAGGCAAAAAGGGATCCAGAAAAATATTTACCCCAAAGAGCATAAAAAACCATGAAGTCAGTATCCTAAAAGAAATCGTCTAGTAAGGCCTTGTCTACACTAACCCCTGCCATCAATCTAATCTATGTGATTTCAGCTGCGCAGCTGAAGTAGACATACTTACTACAGCATCTTATGTGCTGTAATGTCAGCAGGGGCTGTTGTCCCATTGATGCTAGCTACACTTCTCATTCTGGTGGAGTACCAGCATTGATGGGAGAGCACTTGGAAATAAATGTATCACATCTAAGTGATATACATCAACAGCCAAATGGGTCAATTGCTGCAGCATCGATCTCTAGTATAGTGGAAACAAGCCCTAAGTTAGCAGGTGTTCTAAGAACACTCAGAAAATGAAGGATATAATTGGAGGAGCTGGACAAATCAGAATTCTGTGAAGAAAAATGTCTGAAAATAACCTTCAGAATAGGCTAAGCAGGAGGGAATAGTAACAGCACCAAAAGAGAGGGAGTTCTGATAGCAAACTATAAAATAAGTGAGAATGCAGTGCAAACAAGAAGGCAGTAAGAGAGCTAAAGTAAAATCAACAGGGACACAATTCCTCCAGCTCTATGCTAGGCAATTCTCAGTTCTGTCAGCCTGATATGAGGAAAGATCTAATGCTCTTTTCTAAATCCCAGAGTAACCACACACAAAAATATGTTTGAAGCCACAGAAATTAATTTAAAGATTTTACAAGAGTTAAATATGTACAGTCATCCAAACAATGACAAAAGGGGATTCGTCATCATCTGTTCAAATAGGAGAGAGACAGAGAGAATTCCTTAGGATTTTGCAATGAGATGGAACTAGGAGTATTGAAAAAAAATAGAAGATGAGCATCAGGTAGACTTTAAGAACTAACTGAATGTGGAATAACCTCACAAGGACAATGGAAGCCCCAATTGCTTGAGTCATTTAGAACCAGAGAATATACCAGGGGAAGCAAGGGAACGAACTATTGGATCTTCATTCTCCCTCTGAAGTTTTATGATCTAACATGTCTGCAGCTTTGCCAATGTCTTTCAGGGGCAGATTTTCAGAGGTATTTGGGTGCTTAAAGATGCAGATGAAGTGTGTTTTGCACATATCCCACTAGCACATTCCTAGATGCGTAAATACCTTTGAAATCTAGCCCTTGTTTCTTACCAAGATGTGGGGTGAGAAAAGTCACTTTAATCTCATATTTTACATGCCATGTTAAGGTTAGTATTAGCCCAACATAAGAATAAAGGATTCTCCATCATGTCATTACCTTGAGTCAAACATTACATTTTCATTACAATACTTAGTGATATGAAAAGGTTGTCCAGCTCTCCATTTACAATATGGAATTTCCAGAAGGAAGAATATGATACATCAATGGTCCTAAACCAGTTGGCTAGTCATAGCTCAGAACTTGTTAGCCCCAAAACAGCAAAAGTAACTCCCACATCCTGCTTCCAAGGCATCTCACTAACAACAATGGAACATGATGGTTTATAAGAAATATAATCAGTAGTTGTCAAAGCTTAATTCTATTGCCCCACAACAGGCTTCGCCCTGACATGGCAGGATAGCTTTTAGGATTGACTGGGTAGTTCTCTCCCCATGGCTCATTCAAACCTTGGAGTCTCAGCTCCGACTGCCTGAGAGAGGAGCAGTTGTGGCTTTTATAATATGGACAGAAGTTGAATCAAACATTTTTATTGGGAGGGCAAACTATACAAATACTACCAAAGTGTAAAACAAGTGTAAGAACATCTGTAAGGAGGTAGCTCAATACATCAAGAATTTGCCCAGGATACAGCTTCATAATAAGAGATGTGCATCAACCCCTGTCCGCTGGGAACTGAACTTAGGTCGCCATACAGCCATTAGATGGTAACTCTGTTGCTACAGATGCAGGCTGTTTTCAAACCAGGGCCCTAAAGGTGAAATATAAAAACAATTTGTAAGAGCAATAATGTTACAAAATGAGGTTTAATTCAGAAATCTCAACTCCTGAAGTATGCCAGTATCTCAAGTCTAAACAAGTAATGACCTCTCCTATCATTAGCACAAACCTCTACAGCAATACATGTTCACTCTTACAACAAACAGAAACCAGCTAGATTGGGGTTTTCAGTTTTATTGTAGAAAAGCACATTTAAAGGGTGTTTTATGCAAAAATATTTATGCTAATTTGCAGGCAAGTGAAAAATTCTCAACAATTCACTGCAAATACATATTTTTACAAATAATTTATGGACACAGGCAACATTTAGCTATTGGGCTAAGTGCTTTCAGTAAATCACAGGAGGCATAGCCCTGTGTTACAAAGATACGCAAAGACACTTTCCCAACAGAAGCATCCAAGTATAACACCTCCCAGAGCATGGGGCTCCTTGACTGCAAAGCTGCAAATTGTGCCTGCCCCTTAGGTAAATCTCCCTCTGCCTTTGATCTCACCACTTGTGTACCTACTCAAAGGATAGGCACACTCTAGCTTGATAACAATTAAGTGTGGCCAATTACTGAAGTAAATCTTAGACTTCCTTTGACTATCAAATGGATGCAGAGGCTAATAACCTTAACTATAGCAAGGTAAGCTCAGCACAAGTTACAATGACAGTTTGCATTATACTGTAACAAAAGAGCTGTTAACTCTTAACCCTGTGCCACTGCACACATTCTTCATAAGGAGACACACAGAATGAGGCTGGGAAGAAGAGTTTAAGTTACTGGCAAATATATATGGCCTCCCTATCGTTTTAGGGAAAGGAAGTCCCTGATTTTACAGATGATGTATTGCTATTACTCTGTTAGGTAACCAACCTAAGCCTGCAAAAAGTCTCATTATTTGTGGCAGATTTTTTTGTTTTAAAACAGACAACACACCAAACTTGGCATGGATGAATACCCCAGACTATTCCATTAACTTCAATATCGTGCACAAGATCTGAGCCAGCCCAAATCATTTAACTTTGAGATATATCTTTTGCCCAGGCACAGAAGTTCTTTAGAGAAGGATTTTTACTCCCCATACAAGGACCAATGCACAAATACACATTCAAAACATTACTAAAATTCTGCTGGATTTGACAGTCACAGACTGTAATACATATCTATGTCCCTTACTATGTATATTTTCATAATGAATTTTGCCAGCTGCACCTACCACTCAAGAAAAATCACCCACAGAAGCCACGGGGTGTTTTGCCTAGATAGAAACTAATGACTGCAGAATTTTGCCCAGTGAGAATGGAGAAAATGCTAATTTTAATTAGGAATTGTCTTGGTTTTGTTGGTTTGATTTAGAAGTGTCTGTGTAATTGATGTAACCATTCACAGCCATCTGCAAAAACTAGAACATATAATAATAATTAACCAGTATTTTGATAGGGGATGCCATTTGTTATTTTGTAGCTGTCTTCTTCTGGTGTACTTTTTTCTCCTGTAACACTGTTTTGGTCTGAGTCATTATCTTGAACATAGCAATTTGTCTGCATGTATCCCAACAATCCCACAAATAAAGTCTTTTAGTGATTGACTTCACCGTCGGGCAGGTTTGGGCATTATATACACTTTGACCGATTTGCTGAATGGTATGGTTCCCTCAATGCCATATTCAGATGGTGGAACAGCCTCCATGCTGTCAATCCAGGTGGATTTTGAGAGTCTAGTGGATGCCTTGCTCCTATTGGAGTTGTATGCCAGTAATAACCTCACTTCAATCTGACACGGCTCTGAAAAGAAAAAAAACACAAAAAAACTAATACAATACTCAGTCACCACATTGACTGGACAACAAAATACCAAGCAGAAAGTGAATTTTCATGTGATTGATTTGGCATTGATATCAAACACAGAATACATCCAACCTCTGTGCTGGTGGTCTAGACATATTAGCATTTGCTATAGCACTTTGCAAATGAAAATCCAAGTAATGAACATTAATATCAAACTCTCAGATCTCATCAGGGATAACTGTATTTTATATGGCACAGAAGAGTGTAAACATAAATCAGCAGTAAATTTACTATGTAGGTTAAACAGATCCAGAAATTCTCAGCCATGACTTAAGACCAATGAAATACCAGGATCATTTTAACAAGACTGCTTGCATTTAAACTAGAACAGTACACTCGCGGGGTGAGAAATAATCATTTAGTCTCCCCCCAACCTCCCAAGATGCAGAATTTGTTGTGTCTAAACCTCCCAAGACAGCTCTATTCAGCTCTTTTTGAAAACATCTAATGAAGAAGCTTCAACCACCTCCATAGGGTGGTGTCCTACTGTTCTTAGGACATTTTTCTTAAGATTTAAATTGAATCTAAGCTGCAGTTTGAACCCACTGCCTCTTGTGCTGCCCTCTGATGAGAAAGAACAATTTTTCTTCATCTGTTTTAGAACGCCCTTTCAAGTATTTAAACACTACTATCATGTACTCCCTCAATCTCCTCTTTTCCAAACTACACATACTCAATCCCTTCAGCCACTGCTCACATGATTTGCATTCCATCCCTTCGATCATCTTTGTTACTATCATCTGGATCCTTTCCAGTTTCTCTACATTCTTTCTATATAGCAGTGACCAAAACTGGACAGAGTACTCTAGCTGAGGCCTAGCCAGCCCTGAGTACAGTGGTACTATCACTTCTCATGACTTGCATGCAACGCCTCTAACAATGCAACTTCAAATTACATTTGCTTTTTTTTTTTGGTAACAGCATCGCATTGACTATTTAAGTTGAGTTTCTGATCCACCAGGACTCCTAGATCCTTCTCAGCAGTTCGAATGCCAACCGAGTTTTCCCCCCATTCTGTATTTGTGCATTTAGTTTTTCTTCCTTCAGGCCACGTCTACACTTACCTGTGGATCAATGCTCCGGAGGTCGATCTTCTGGCATTCAATTTAGCGGGTCTAGTATAAACCTATAAATCGAATACTGAGGGCAGCTCCCGCCAGTATCTGTACTCCGCGCAGTTGCGAGGAGTAAGGGATGCTGACAGGAGTGTTTGCTCTCATCAGCCTCCTGACGTGGGAATTCCATCAAGCTCAGCTTAAGGTAAGCTGACTCCAGCTATGTATTCTATTTTGTATTTAATTTGTCTTCACTCAATTTCATTTCGTTGTTTACAGTCCAGTTCTCCAGTTTATCAAGAGCCTTTTAAATTTTAGTTCTATCCGCCACAGTGTTTACAAACCTCTGCAGGTTTTCTCATCTGCAAATTTGATCAGTATGCTCTTTCTAGTAAACCCATATTGGCTGCTTGTGATTATCCCTTCATACTCCCAAGTATCATAGAATCATAGAGCTAGAAGAGACCTCAGGAGGTCATCAAGTCCAGCCCCCTGACCAAGGCAGGACCAATCCCAAGTATCTGCAATTGAATGTTTTATACATTTTTCTACTGGTTTTCCAGATAACTGGTCTGTAGTTTCCTGGTTCCTTCTTTCCGTCCTTTTTAGGCACTACATTAGCCCTTCTCCAGTCTTCCAGGATCTCATTGCAGTCTGAGGTCTTGGGCCAGTGCTCTGTGGCCAGAAGGGTGGCCCCGGTTTAGTTTCTGGTGTCTCATTCTAAAGACTATGAGGCCTGTGAAGGTGTTATGTCAAACAGCAGCTCCTTTGGTTAATTAACTAATAGTATCAGCCAGCCAGAGAAGTCCATGTGCCTGCAGGGTCAACATGGTACTAAGCAGATTCCTCAAGGGTGCAGAAGCTCAGCAGAAGGTGGCAATGGCAATTGCAGAATACACAGAAAACTTCCAAAAAGGGTCTCTTGTTTGTGAGAGATGCCCTCTATGAACCAAATCACTGAACTAGAACAAGATACATTCCTGTTTATAAAGATACAGCAACATTTAAGCATATGAATTCATACCAATTATTTCTTACCTGTCCAGGCAGTATGAGACAGGTAAATCTGAGTTATCAATCTGTGCCTTCCAGGACCAGGATTTCGAAAGTCAGCTGGTTTAGGATGGATCAACTGTGCCTGTCCATCTGGATATAATACCTGTGGGGGAAAAAAGATGAAACAATCATGTACTTGGAATTTACATATTATCAGGGTACTTTTTTGCTACCAGTAGAAAGACAAGAATTCAGACATTATTTTGTTTATAAGATTCCACATCCTCTAGTTTTACTGGTTATACACCAGCTATTCAGGACCATGGTCTAAAATTATTATTTTTTTTTTTAAATCAAAAGTGGCTCTCTCCCCTGCACCAAACACTGGGTAATGAACACTTTGTAGGGCTGTATAATCTACTTAGGATCATTCCACATGCAACCTCTTGGCAACATTTCCCAAAAAAACTTCCTGCGGTTTAGTTATTTATCTCAAAGGAGAGCAATGGCCTTATATTGTTATATATCCTTGAGAAAAGCCTCCTCTGCTTCCATAATTTCATTCAGCCTACTTGAGATGTATAGATTTTTCTATTGCCATGGATTAGTTGTTTCTGCTAATATCCACAATGTAGGAAGTGCTTTTTTAATACAAAAAGTGACACCATCTGACGATTTTGCAATATACAAGAGGCATGACACTGCTCCAGTGTTGTTCCTGCTGTTATGTAAGATGAGATGGGCTCAAACCAAACACTTACAATTTTGGGGCAAGTGAAGATCTAGATCAGGGCTATTCAACTTTGGAAGCCCTGGGAGCCACAATGATACTCACAGCACATGCTGAGGGCCACAACTTAAGTGTGGTTGCATATATATGCAAATAGCTTCTTTCACACTTACAAGCATGAAGACAAAGTTTAAGGCAAGACTACTCAACACACAGGCCCCATTTAAGTAAATTCTGCTGATATTAATAAAATAATTTACCCAATTTCCACTGCACTTATAATGAGCAATAACAATCCAGGAATTTAACTACTAAAACGTATACCAACAGAAGACCATTATATTTACTACTTTTTTGTTTTGGTTCCCTCCTGCGGGCTGCACATTGAGCTCTGTGTAAACCCAAACCACGCCGCGGGCCGCATGTTGAGTAGCCCTGATCTAGACTATAGTTCAGGCCAGTCTCTAAATGGACTGTCCTGTTTAGCTACACACAAAAATTCCTCACGGCTAATAAAGTACACAATTATTTATAATTCAGAAATACTAATATTGCTGTGGTGAATAACAAGGGAAAATGCAAACTTCTCAAAGAGTTAACTTTCTTGTTTCTTTGTAGTGGAATGGCCGCCCCATTTTGGCATAGGAAGGGTTAATCAGGCTGGAGAGTGCTTGCACAGAACCCAGCCAATTGGCGATGAGCTTACTGAGAGACAATTGCAATAAAGCTTGCTGCAGGAGCCCAGATATAAAGGGCTGCTCAGCAGAGCAGAAGGGCAGTCTCTCATTGGCCTGCAACTGAGAAGGACCAGCTGCCTTAGAGAGCACCAATAGCAGAAAAGAGCTGGGCAAGGTCAGGGGACCCAGAAGGAGGCTCCAGCCTGATAACAGCCAGACTGAGCCCCTAATACAAAGGGCTGAGATGGTGCAAGGGCTTCAGGGAAGTGGCCCCGGGAAGGCATGCAGAAGGACAGTGGAGGAAGGCAGTAGGTGGTTGCCACTTGAGGGTCTCTGTGTCAGAGTATAGCATTAAGGGGTGGGCCTGGGTTCCCCTCTCTTTGCCCCACTGACCAGCAAAGAACTTCAGTTTGCCCCAAGGGAGGGACCAGCTTTCATGCTGAAGTCTAGCCACTATGGAGTGGGGCCAAACTGACCAAAGGAAGAGCCCCAGTGGTGAGTCTGCACCCCACTACATTCCCTTTCAGAAGAATCACTCATTACCTGAACTTTCACTGTGCTCTGAGGGTCCTGCACATGCTCTAGAGTTGCATCAACATCCAGTGCCACCACAAGTCCTGACGTAAACCTTAGAGGGTTATCAGACTCTCCAGCCGGTTCAATAATCGTTGCGGTAGCTTTGTGAATCTGGAAGGAAAAGGGAGGAGGGTGTGGAGAAAACATACAACGGAAAAAACATGATGCAAACTTGTAAAAATTCTTGACACTATCTAAATATTATTCAAGTGCCTTAATTTTTTTAAGGACAATGCTGGAGAGACTATACAATATCTGAAGGAAATAAACCTCATAAATAGCCAGTCGAATAGGCTATAAAAGCCTCTTGCTCTACCTTTACAGAATTAGCCTTGGAACCTGAGGCTGCTCTTCATTCCTCTATGGATTACTGACCTGTTCTGGGAGAGGAAGATGAAGGAAGGTGCTCTGCCGTAACGTTGTCTGCAGGATCTTCACCGCTTCTGAAGGCTTGGAGGTCACAAGTCTAGGCATTAAGTCCAGCAGCTTATCGACAAAACTGTCTTGCATATGGGGCAGTTCAGAAATAAAACATCTGTGCGTGTTAAAAATATATAGAAGAAAAATTCAAGTGCTTATTACTGTTAGTTGATAAGACTATGCTACATCGTCAAACCTCTTGTTCATCCAGCTTTATCTTATAACTTCTATCATGACAATAGAAACATTCTAAAAATATCAGAATAAATGGACAAGTTTCAAGCTCAGTTTCAGCATTAGAAAAAATTGTATACCGCTCAAGAGGCTGCCTGAACCTGGGCAGAGTTGCTTTAACCTGCCTGTGTGGATCTAATCTACATTAGGTCATATAATGACCTAATGTAACTAAATGAGGAATGGGCAACCATGAACAGTGGCTGGGCTGCATGAGTGGCCCTTCTTCACCTTAGTGGCTACAGCAGCCCACTGGGGTTCCACCTGTGGTCCCATAGCACCTCTATCTACCTCCTCTTCCCTATGCACCTCTCGCAAACTGGGGCACCAGAGCCCCGCACTTATCTGCTCCTCCCCTCCCCTCCCAGCACTTTCAGAGCTTCGTTTCCCACTCCTCCTCCTCTCCAGAGCTGGGGTTGCCAATCACTGAACGAGATATTCATTTAAACCGTTACTGGGCATATACTCTCTGATGTTTCATCCTATCAGCAAATGCTACGAACATCTGAAGGGAACTTTCAAATGGTCTTTTCTCGTAAACATTATATGAAATAACCCTAACTATATTAGACATGCATCTGACGAAGTGGGTCTTTGCCCACGAAAGCTTATGCTCCAATACTTCAGTTAGTCTATAAGGTGCCACAGGACTCCTCACCGCTTTTGCAGGTTCAGACTAACACGGCTACCCCTCTGATATATTAAAGGTGAGCAGTTTGGTTTCTCGTCGTTTGGAGTGGGGTATAGGAAAGAACATCTAATTCAAATGAAAAAAAATCAAAAACAATTTTGGTAAAAAACTAAGGGTGAAGTGGGCCAACCATATGGGCCTAAATTTCCTCTAGCCTTCAAGTTGCTGGTACAGCTGCTAAAAAGGCAGTTTTTATAGACAGCAGACAGAGCACGTTTCTATGGGGCTCAGAAGTAGGCCTCATTAACTAAACTAATACTATATTAAGATTCCATGAAAAGAATGGTGGCAGAAAGGGAGAGACACATGAATAAGGTCCTAAATATGTATCCTCATGGAGTTAATGGATATCTCTGAATGTGTTAGGGATAGCTCATGATCCTATATTTTTGTTAAGTCTTTAAGATGCTACAGGATTACTCATTGGTTATATTCTGTTTTTGCTAAGACCTCAATTCTACACAAAATGATATAAGTAATTTCAATTGGTGCACGATCAGCCCCTATATGCATACATCTTATTAGTGGCAATAGGAGCTTAAAAAGAAAGCCAGATATCAACGATAAAACCCACTATGTAGACAGAGTGCAGAATTTTTCTACACTTTTTTTTTAGAATTATATTCATCTTAAAATTAGTTTGACACACCCTAATTAAGATTACTAATTACACAATATCTTTATTTTCAGGTTTCATAAGAATAGATTTTGTATCGCTTATTTTTTTTTAAGAGTTTTTAAAAATAGAAATGGAAAGAACAATGGGACACTCACCTCTGAAAAGAATCCACTTCCTGTAAAAAATTTTCACACATTCCAAAAAGGGGTTCCACTCTGAAATGAAGATAAAAAGTTCCTTTTATTTTTCTCCCCCGCATATTAAAAAAAATTGGCTATAGTGCTGTGACATAGTGGGGGGTAACTTGCTAACTCACTGGCCACTGTCTGTAGCACCACCGAGCAAGACAGGCGATGAGTCATTATGCAAAGAGGGTGTCTCAACCTGTCTGACCAGCTACCCCCTATGGAGAGGAATAAAGGAAGGTGAATGCTGCCCTGGCTGAGGGGCAGGGCTGGAGGAGAGTTAGTTTAGTTTCTGTCTGGGAGGATGAAGGAAGCAGCCTCAGCAACAGGCTGGGGGGTTTAGAAGCATCCTAGGGGGGGCTGAGGCATCCTAGGCCTGCCCTGTAACCTGATGACATCTGTGCTGTGCTGTATGCTGGAGAAGCAATAAACCACCTCTATTCTACTGGCTGGTGGAGTCTGTTCATGCCATTCCGGGGGTGCAGGAGGCGGGGGAACCCCAACACGTTGTCACAAGTGCTACCAGCATTATAAAAGTTTCTAGAGATTTTGGAACAACCCATGTTTGTGGAAAGTGCAAGACTTTTCAGATAGTGCAAGGCCACCACTATAGTTTCATAAAATAAATCTTTGCATTCAAATAGAGTCTTTACCATTTCACAGAAAGTATTAACGTCCCTTTGTACCATGGGAAACTGAAGCAAATAGATTATGAGACCTCCCAAGGCAACTCTGTTACAGGTAAAATAAAAGCTAAAAACTAGGTTAAGGAGACGTTCACACTAAAAATCCAAGTGACTGCTGCGGCAGCATAAGCAGCACAAGGTACTAGCTGCCCTAGCATCCTGGACAGGTATATAGTTAGGATGGCTAGTTCCCCCTGCCACTCATGCCACAATAGCTACGCTTCTATTTTCAATGCCCTAGCTTAATAAGAGCTACTGTAGTATGTCTCATACACCTTTCAATTGCACTACAGACACAATGTATGTCACTCATTCTGCAAACAAACACTTAAACTCATATAATACTTTACTCAGGGTAGGTCTACACTACCACCCTAGTTCGAACTAGGGTGGTAATGTAGGCAACCAGAGTTGCAAATGAAGCCCGGGATTTGAATTTCCCGGGCTTCATTTGCATCTCGCCGGGCGCCGCCATTTTTAAATGTCCGCTAGTGCGGACTCCGTGCCGTACGGCTACACGCGGCACGGATTAGGTAGTTCGGACTAGGCTTCCTATTCCGAACTACTGTTACTCCTCGTTCAATCAAATTGAACTAAAACTGCCACTCACCTAATCATGCTTAAGTGTTTGCAATATTGTGCCTAAAACATTCACAAAAGATAGATTTTTCTTTTGTGGCAGAAAAGACTTATTAAAAAATTTACTGGGGAATCTATTCATATAAATATGATGGGTGTTTTTAATATGCATCTGAAATTCTCCTTTTTAAAATAAACTCCATATTTTCAGATGTAAAATGACTAATGCTCTATCAAATTAGAAGGGATTAGGTATGTATGTATTTCATATCCTAGGGTCAGAGGAAAAACCCCCAAATGGTTTGTACACTTTTAGCAAGTTCATAACTTGACTTTATGCTGCGTAGCTCATCAGGTTCTTGGGAGATGTATTAAGAAACAAGCTTATTCTCAACCTACAGCCTTTTAATGACCTGTTTGCATGTGATTATATATTACACATATTAAGTTACCTCTGTCATTTGCAACCAAGCTTGAGAGAACTGGATTTTTGCAGTTAACCCATTCAAGAAGCTTTCCCTGCAGGTAATTCTTACCCTCTAGTAGTACGTGCAGTCACTATAAGTTGTAATGCTTTGGCTTGCAATCTCATATGGTGAATAGTAACCACTTGTCTATTTTCCACTCCACTGTACATAAACTCCATTTTGTAAGTTTCTTCCATAATCTGCAATATAAACACCACATGATTAACTCTGTCAGATTTTGTGCAGCTGCTGTGTGTGTGTGGTTGTCAGAGTTAGAGACTATTACTCAGGCGGAATAGCATCTCAGTCTTGTTGTAATTCCAGTTGAACTACTCCTGGAATAAAGTAGTACCCAACCTATGTAAAGGGGATTAGAATCTAGCCCTAAATAAATAAATAAAATGCATGAAACCTTGCAAAAACAAGGGTGTTCAGGGGAGGTGTGTACATGCTCTATATCTACCTCAGGTGGACAAGCAGGATAGAATGGATATAGTATACTTATAGGATATAGTATACTTAGATTTCCAGAAAGCTTTTGACAAGGTCCCACACCAAAGGCTCTCAAGTAAAGTAAGTTGTCATGGTATAAGAGGGATGTTGTCATGGTATAAGTCATGGTATCAGTCCTTTCATGGACTGATAACTGGTTAAAAGACAGGAAATAAAGGGTAGGAATAAATGGTAAGTTTTCCAAGTGGACAGAGGTAACTAGTGAGGTCCCCAAAGGTTTGTCCTGGGACCCATCTTATTCAATTTATTTATAAATGATCTAGAGGAAGAGATAAAGAGTGAGGCTGCAAAATTTGCAGATGATACCAAACTGCTCAAGATAGTTAAGACCAAAGCAGACTGAAGAGCTTCAAATGGATCTCACCAAACTAAGTGATTGGGCATCAAAATGGCAAATGAAATTTAATGATGATAAATGTAAAGTAATGCACATTGGAAAAAAATAATCTCAACTACACACACACACACACACACACACACGAACTAATTTAGCTAAAACTACTCAAAAGAGAGATCTTTGGGTTATTGTGGATAGTTCTTTGAAAACATTCACTAAGTGTGCAGCAGTCAGGTAGCACTTTAAAGACTAACAAGATGGTTTAAGGTGAGAGCTTGCGTGGGGCCGACCCACTTCTTCAGATCTGAAGAAGTGGATCGGCCCCACGAAAGCTCTCACCTAATAAAGACTAACAAGATGGTTTTTTAAGTACTACCTGACTGCTTTTTTTTTTGTTTTCCTGAGATCAGACTAACACAGCTACCTCTCTGTTACTTTTCAGTGTGCAGCAGCAGTCAAAAGAGTAAATAGAATGTCAAGAGTCATTAAAAAAGGGATAGAGAATGAGAGAGAATATCTTATTGACTCTTTATAAAACCATGGTATGCCCACATCTTGAGTACTGCGTACAGCTGTGGTTGCCTCAGCTCAAAACAGATATATTGGCATTGGTATTATTAGGGATTTGGAACAGGTCCCATATGATGATAGATTAAAAAGATTGGGACTTTTCAGCTTAGAAAAGAAAAGACTAATGGGGAGGGGGAAGATATGATAGAGGTCTATAAAATCACAACTGGTATGGAAAAAGTGAATAAAGAAAAGTTATTTACTTATTCCCACAATAAAAGAAGTAGGAGTCACCAAATGAAATTAATAGGCAGCAGGTTTAAAACAAACAAAAGGAAGTTTTTCTTCACTCAGCCTGTGGAACTACTTGCCAGAGGATGCGGTGAAGGCTAGAACTTTAACAGGATTCAAAAAAGAGCTGGATAGATTCATGGAGGTTAGGTCCATCAATGGCTATTAGCCAGGATGAGTAGGAATGGTGTCCCTAGCCTCTATTTCTCCGGAGGTGGGTGACAGGGGAGGGATCACGTGAGGGTTACCTGTTGTGATCCCTCCCTCTGGGGCATCTGGTATTGGCCACTGTTGGCAGACAGGATACTGGGCTAGATGGACCTTTGGTTTGACCCAGTATGGCTGTTCTTATGCTTCTATGTTCTCTCTTTCCCAATGCCATTTCTCCTTGCACCCAGTTTCAAGCTACCCATGCTGTAAGTTTTTTTGGTGCTCACTAACCCACTTCTGTGATAATTGTTCTGATATAGTAAGATAGCACGAGAGGTAAGCACAAAGCAGCAGTCTCAAAGACCCTGTTCAGATTTAAGATCTAAATGAGCATTTTCAGGTTTGTCGGGATTTTGATTTTTAAAAAGAGTCCAGTCCTCTCGCAATCAACTTTGCAGTCACGAATGCTTAACATTCAGTTTCAAATTTCAGCTACAAAACAAGTCATTCTGGATTCTCTAAATATATAGTTCACAGCTCAGGCAGTAAGTTATCCCATTTGCAACATTATATATATTCTACTATAATGTAATGTGCACAAATAAATTAGAAAAATGCTTAGATTATTAAAGAAGATTGCTACTTTCTCTGCAAGTAGCACTTCATATTTAACTCAAGTACTGCAAAGTTACACTACAATCATGGAAATCGGGAGAGATTCCTGAAGACTGGAAAAGGGCAAATATAGTGCCCATCTATAAGGGAAATAAGAACAACCCAGGAAACTACAGACCAGTCAGTTTAACTTCTGTGCCAGGGAAGATAATGGAGCAGGTAATTAAGGAATTCATCTGCAAACTTCTGAAAAGAAATAAGGTGATAGGGAATGGCCAGCATGGATTTGTAAAGAACAAATCATGTCAAACCAATCTAACAACTTTTTCTGATAGGATAACAAGTCTTGTGGATAAGGGAGAAGTGGTGGATGTGGTATACTTAGACTTTATTAAGGCATTTGATACAGTCTCACATTACCTTCTTATCAATAAACTAGGCAAATACTACTTAGATGGGGCTACTATAAGGTGGGTGCATAACTGGCTGGATAACCGTTCTCAGAGAGTAGTTATTAACGGTTCACAGTCATACTGGAAGGACATAAGTAGGGTTCCACAGGAGTCTTTTTTGGGACCGGCTCTGTTCCATATCTTCATCAACGATTTAAATGATGGCATAGAGAATACACCTATTAAGTTTGCAGATGATACGAAACTGGGAGAGGTTGCAAGTGCTTTGGAGGATAGGGTTAAAATTCAAAATGATCTGGAGAAACTGGAGAAAAGGTCTGAGGTAAACAGGATGAAGATTAATAAGGACAAATGAAAAGTACTCCAGTTGGGAAGGCACCATCAGCTTCACACACAGAATGGGAAGTGACTGTCTAGGAAGGAATACTGTGGAAAGAGATTTAGGGGTCATAGTGGACCACAAGCTAAATAGGAGTCAACAGTGTGATGCTGTTGGAAAAAAAAGCAAACACGATTCTAGGCTGCATTAATAGGAGTGTTGTCAACAAGACATGAGAAGTCATTCTTTCGCTCTACTCTGTGCTGATTAGGCCTCAACTGTATCCAGTTCTGGGCACCACATTTCAAGAAAGATATGGAGAAATTGGAGAAGGTCCAGAGAAGAGCAACAAAAATAATTAAAGGTCTAGAGAACATGACCTATGAGGGAAGACTGAAAGAATTGGGTTTGCTTAGTTTAGAAAAGAGAAGACTTGAGGGGGGACATGATAGCAGTTTTCAAGTATCTAAAAGTGTGTAACAAGGAAGGGAGAAAAATGAAGGTTAATAAGGACGAATGTAAAGTACTCCACTTAGGAAAGAACAATCAGTTTCACACATACAAAATGGGAAGTGACTGTCTAGGAAGGAGTACTGCAGAAAAGGATCTAGGAGTCATAGTGGACCACAAGCTAAATATAAGTCAGTGTGACACTTGCAAAAAAAGCAAACACATTCTGGGATGCACTAACAGAGTGTTGCGAGCAAGACACGAGAAGTCATTCTCCTGCTCTACTCTGCACTGACTAGACCTCAGCTGGAGTATTGTGTCCAATTCTGGGCACCACATTTGAATAAAATGTGGCGAAATTGCACAAGGTCCAGAGAAGAGTAAAAAAATAATTAAATGTCTAGAAAACATGAGCTACGTTGAACTGAAGGAATTGGGCTTGTTTAGTTTGGAAAAGAGAAGACAGAGGGGACGTGATGGGGGGTTTCAGGTATCTAAAAGGGTGTCACAGGGAAGAAGGGGGAAAATTGTTCTTCTTGGCCTCTGAGGATAGGACAAGAAGCACTGGGCTTAAATTGCAGCAAGGGAGGTTTAGGTTGGACTTTAGGAAAAAGTTCCTAACTGTCAGGGTGTTTCAACCCTGGAATAAATTGCCTAGGGAGGTTGTGGAATCTCCAACAATGGAGATATTTAAGAACAGTTTAGACAGGCATCTATCAGGGATGATCTAGACAGTGCTTGGCCCTGCTGAGAGGGCAGGAGACTGGACTTAAAGATCTCTCAAGGTCCCTTCTAGTTCTAGTAGTCTATGATTCTATAAGAAAGTTTACCCTCTCCTTTCATTTTCTGGGAGTGAGCAGCATGTGCAGAACTGCCAGTAAAGTTATTTCAATCAGAAAAAGATTTACAAACATAACAGACTTTTATTTCTACCAGTCTTCAAGGAAGATGAAGACAAACTAGGAAAAATTCAGAGGAGAGCAACAAAAATGATTAAAAAAAAATCTTGGCGTGTTTAGTCTTGAAAAAAGACTAAAGGAGGACCTGATCACTTATTTGAAGATTAAGGACTGTTACAAAAAAGATGGTGATCAATTGTTCTCCATGTCTATGTAAAGTAGAAAAAGTAGTAATCAGTCTAATCTGCAGCAAGGCAAATTTAGACTAGATATCAGGAAAAATCTTTCCAACTGTAAGGATGGTTAAGCGCCAACATGCTTCCAAGAGAGGTTGTGGAATCCCTGTAGTTGGTGGGTTTTAAGAACACATCAGACAACCACCTCTCAGGAATGGTCTACACTTACTCGGTCATGCCTAAGGGAAAGGGACAGCTCCAAGGACATCTCAAGGTCCCTTCCAGGCCTACATATATATGATTCTAAAGTGACTTCAGCACAGCTGATCTTGTGAGCATCTGTCAGACTACAGTTAGTCTCACACTCAACTACAATGAAATCAACCTGGGCAGATGTTCTGAAAATGACATGCAGAGAGCTTTTAGTTTCCAAAAGGAATTTAAGTTATTGAAGGTGGAGTTCAACATAATCCTAGGGTTCAAAAAAGAATTAGATACATTTTAGGTCCATCAATAGCTATTACCCAGAATGGGTAGGAATGGTGTCCCTAGTCTCTGTAAGTCAGGAGCTGGAAATGGTTCACAGGAAAGGGATTACCTAATGATTATCTGTTCTGTTCACTTGGGTATCTGGCATTGGCCACTGTCGGCAAACAGGATACTGGGCTAGATGGACCTTTGGTCTGACCAGGTTTGGCTGTTCTTATGTTTGGTTGAAGCAGTTGACTCATAATTTAGATATCACCCAATTATCTGCTGTGTAATTTTCTCTTTAAAAAAACAAACAAACAAACAGCATCCAAACAATTCTGAATATCTTTGGTACATGTGGAGTTATATGCAAGTCAGCCTATTATTCATCCTATACAACACACAGATTCACATTGCTTCTGGAATCCAAGTTCACTAAAGTCTATTTTATTTAAATAGAGGCATACAGAATACTTAAACAAACCTGCGCTCAGGAAGACATGGCTTCTGCAATCTCACCTGTTTTGCAGCAGCTGATGCCAAAGCATTCTGTTTCAGGTAGAGAGGAGCTGCCACATTCCACAGTTTTTCCTGGAGGGCCTACAAAAGAAACCCATGGAATACTGATAAACGTCCAAACACAATAATTTAAAAGTAAAAGTGCTTTGCACTTCCTTGCAGGTCAAAAGGCAGCACTGACAATTTCTTCATTCCTAGAAAATGTATTGGCCATATTTAAAAACATTAGCAAAAAACCCCCCCCCCCCAAAAAACAAAAAAAAAAACCCAAAAAACAGAAAATGGAGGAATATGAGAACTCCATATAATTATGTAAATACACCTTATCCCCCACTATAGGAGTCACATGTAAAAGCTATACTCCAATATGAATATGAATTTATTAGCTTGTGGTTACACAGGAAGACCCAGGGAACCAAGTTGCAGAACATTTAGGGTGTCCACTACAGGCAGTCCCCGGGTTACGTACAAGATATGGACTGTAGGTTTGTTCTTAAGTTGAATCTGTATGTAAGTCGGAACTGGCATCCAGATTCAGCCGCTGCAGAAACTGACCAGCGGCTGACTACAGGAAGCCCGAGGCAGAGGTGCTCTGCCCCAGGCTTCCTGGAATCAGCCACTGATCAGTTTCAGCAGCAGCTGACTTGGGGACGCCTGGGGTTCTTAAGTTGAATCTGTATGTAAGTCGGAACTGGCATCCAGATTCAGCCGCTGCAGAAACTGACCAGCGGCTGACTACAGGAAGCCCGAGGCAGAGGTGCTCTGCCCCAGGCTTCCTGGAATCAGCCACTGATCAGTTTCAGCAGCAGCTGACTTGGGGACGCCTGGGGTTCTTAAGTTGAATCTGTATGTAAGTCGGAACTGGCATCCAGATTCAGCCGCTGCAGAAACTGACCAGCGGCTGACTACAGGAAGCCCGAGGCAGAGGTGCTCTGCCCCAGGCTTCCTGGAATCAGCCGCTGGTCAGTTTCAACAGGCTGAATCTGGACACCAGTTCCGACTTACATACAGATTCAACTTAAGAACAAACCTACAGTCCATATCTTGTACGTAACCCGGGGACTGCCTGTAGTTGGACTTGCTCTTAAAATCTTGGCCCACCAGCTTCAAACATGAGCAAACAGATTTAGTTCTGCTATACCTGGGACCTTCTGATCCCAGAGAGGCTGGGAAGGGACATGATTTGCTTCTAGGTGAGTCTGTTGGATCACACAAAATACTTAAGGGCAGTGTTAATTTCCTAATTAAAGGAGCTGAAGCAGCACTGAAGGGGGGTCTCACTGTCCAACGTGTATAGGATTTTACATTTTATGGTCTTTCCAGATATTCTAAATTAGTCATGATTTCATGCAGATCACTGCCTTTTCCATGCTGCTTTGTGATGGACTGTCTCACCTAGGCATGAGTACTTCCCTCACCTACTCCCCTAGCACCATCTCGGCAGGGGGAGGCAGATGTGCAGTGGGGGACTGGGCATGAGCCAGGACTCAGCTGTCCCAGCTTGCACCCGGTTCTCTGCTGAGCCTCTGGCCTTCTAAATGTAGTAAGAGCCGCCAAGCTCTTACATTTAAAAGGCAAAGCCACAGCAGAGTCCCACGTTGCGCCTCTCCCTTTTAAATGTAAAAAGAGTCGCCCAACTTTTAATAATTTAAAAAGGCAGAGCTGCAGCGGGGGTAGCTCCCAGGGGCAGGAACTAACCCTGCTGCAGCTCTGCAGTTTTCTTCTTTATCAACAAATCAAATTCCATCCACTATTCGATTAGCTGATTAAATGCAATTTAACATCCTTAGTTTAGCCTTGATTTTATCTAGCAGTAACACAAGGAACCTACAGCTTGCATATTATAAAACACTGGCTTTATCAAGCTAGCAAAAATGAAGGGACAAGAACCTTATTACCCTCCATTATAGGACCAAGTTACAAAATTCAAACAGCCCTTGATTGCCAGGCCTGCGCTCAGAGCACTACTGAACCCAAGATTTCACCATAAATCAGCAGCTTTTGTAAGTGGTTAGACTCACTAGCACATATGAAATATGGCAAATGCTAGATTTGCTCACCACAGACATGATTCTATGCTCTAGGAAAACACATGAAGCCTAACCTTGATGAGGAGTAGTTGACACCGAAGGTAAGCTGCAGAGAAGTCTGCTACCCCTGCCAGTTCTGACTGAAGTTCTCCAAGTCTCTGAAGGTCACTGGAACAAATAAGAAAAAATGCAAAATTCAGATGCATTAAAACACCACCACAAAGCTCTGTAAAGATGAGACAATAAAATGTCAATTTTAACATTCCAATCCTGCAGCAGTAGCAATGATGAAGTTACCTATTTATGTATTTTACCTCTGCCCACCTCTATAACCACACCAAAATGTGTAGAAGAGCAGCCTGCACTAGGAGACCTACCAGCTTCTTTCCTCTTCCCATATTCTGACATGAGCAGCAGTTAGTCTGTCATCCAGCATTATTCTGCATCTCTATGGGAACCACAGAGCACCGTGACTCCAGATTTAATGCAAACATTCCAGATATTCTAATGCAGCAAAGAACCAATTTGTATTAAACTGCTGGGAAATCTTTCTTCTGATGCCAACTATGACAAATCAAAAACCTTTTCAGACCACACTTGAAAGAGAATCCTCTGAACTGTCATTCATGCTTAAATTCGACACTTTACGCCTAAGTTTAAACAAAGATGCTAATTATCTTACCCATTACAAAGATAGCTTCTCCAATTATCACCTCTAATACCATTAGCTCACAGACATTTACCTCTCCCCCCCCTCCCCCCCCCCTCTGTTCTGAAATTTGATTTGTCCTTTTCATATGTGTTCATTTTTTTTTTAAATTGTATCCTTTGGTATATATGGTTGTGACAATTTTCTTCCACTATTTGATCTGAGGAAGTGGGTCTGGCCCATGAAAGCTCATCACCTAATAAACCATCTTGTTAGTCATTTAAAGTGCTACATAGTCCTGTTTTTTGTTTCAATAAGGGAAGGCGCTCTGTCCCAGCTTGCACCGAATCCAGGAGCTACCCCCACTGTGGCTCGGCAGTTTAATGTAGTAGGAACCAGGCACACAGGCAGCCTGGCTCCTACTACATTTAAACTGCAGAGCCACAGCAGAGGTAGGTCCTGGACCCAGTGCGAGCCAGAAGGGTCTGGAAGTTACCCCCGCTGAGGATCTGCAGTTTAAATGTAGTAAGTGACGTCCAGTTATTACTACGTTTAATATGCAGAGCTGCAACGGAGGTAGCTCCCAGACCCGGTTCGAGCCAGGACTGAACTGGGCTTACCAACAGTTGGCATTTCAAGATGGGAATTATAACAACTCTTCTGACAGCAATTAAAAATAACGTTTAGCTCTTATTTTCATCACTAGATCTCAAAGCACTCGACAGTACTCAGCCTTACCGAATGGTGAATTCCAGCAGCTCTTGTGTGCTCTGGGGGTCAAGGTGCTGAAGGTTGTAAACTCTCTCAAGACACTGCTGCAGGAACTGTTGGGAAGGATCTTCATGAGGGGTAACACTGGGGGAAACAGGGGAGGATACCAGTTTTCTACCTGGCAACTGAGCAAAAAGGAACACACACAAATAAACAAGCTAAATCCAGATGACAAAATTAGTTTGGTCACAATTTTGTGTCTCAGCATTTAAACAAGAATTCTACAAATGGGAAACAACAATATATTTTTCTATTTCAGAATTTGCATCAAAGCCTTCAGTTTCACATCTTCATTACACATCTCTTTGCAGTTCTAGAGTTCCTCCTCTCCTCTCACGATATCAAAACACTATATAATTAAACTAAAAAACACCTGAATGGCAGGCATTCCCATCTATAAAACCAGGATAGTTAACAACTGTCTTTGCCAAGATTGCACACAGTGAAATTCTTCCCCATGCAGAAGGCACACACTAAGCCGGTGTATCCCAATTTTATTTGGCCACAGAACCCTTTAAAAAAGAAAAAAAAAGCCGCTGG